GCAGCCATGGAATTAAAAGACGCTTACTCCTTGGAAGGAAAGTTATGACCAACCTAGATAGCATAATAAAAAGCAGAGACATTATTTTGCCAACAAAGGTCCATCTGTTAAGGCTATGGTTTTTCCAGTGGTCATGTATGGATGTGAGAGTTGGACTATAAAGAAAGCTGAGCACTTAAGAATTGATGCTTTTGAACTGTGGTGTTGGAGAAGACTCTTGAGAGTCCCTTGGACTGCAAGGAGATCCAACCAGTCCATCCTGAAGATCAGTCCTGTGTGTTCATTGGAAGGACTGATGCTCAAGCTGAAACTCCAATACTTTGGCCACCTCATGCAAAGAGCTGACTCATTGGAAAAGACCCTGATGCTGGGAGGGATTGGCGGTAGGAGGAGAAGGGGACGACAGAGGATGAGATGGCTGGATGGCATCACTGACTGGATGGACATGAGTCGAGTAAACTCCGGGAGTTGGTGATGGACAGGGAGGCCTGGCGTGCTGCGATTCATGGGGTTGCAAAGAGTCCGAAACGACTGAGCGACTGAACTGACTGAAGGCCTCCATTCCTTCTTTAACCTTTCAGCGGTATAATTATCAAGTAGGGGAGGACATCCACTAGGCCTCCCTTTTCCTACCTCTCATCTGGTTTGGACTGGGGCATTCCATCTGTCTGGGAGCCTCAAGAAATTGTTGGGCGATGCTCACAGAAGCCCACTATCCACCTGCCAACCCTGTGTGAGTACCAAGCTGCTTGTAAGCCAGGGTGGCAACAAATCTTTCAAGAGGCTGTTTGAAAATGCTTTATGGCACGTAGGGTTACAAGGCTCTAGCTGAACAAATGGAAAAATTAGTCTACCTTAAAATAGCCAAGGCAAGTAATTTTCTATCACCTTGTTTCTTAAATGTACTTAACATCTAGAATCTGGGCCTCCCAAAATATGACTAAGGGTCATTAGTTAAAATGGCAACTTGAAGATAAAAAAAAAAAAACCAACAGAAAAAACTTCCACTTTATTTATTTTATTAAAAACTTCCACTTTAATAGTTGCTTCTAAAATGATGCCATCAGCCCTTCTGTTCAGAATAAGGGAAGTCAGGAATGAAAAGACATCAATTATTATTTCTTGAATTTAACAGCCTTGAGCCAGTCTAGGAACAGGAGTCTTATCCCACATCTACTTAGGCTCAGCCACAGCTCTCCCTGACCAGCCCCACCCTCCACCCCCACGCCAGGGGTTTCCCAAGGTCTCACAGCTTAGGTTTGGTTTCCTTCTGGTTTTTCTTGAATGGAATGGTTTGCTTTTTAACTCCTTTCTCCAGATTTCTAAATTAGTCTTCACCACACAAAGCAAGTTAGTGATGACAACCAGAGGGGCAGTCTGCTATTTTCTTGTGTTCTTTTTCTTTTTCTCTTCCTCTTTCTTGAACATTTTTGCTCTTCTTTTTACATTTCCTTTATTCATTCACTCATTCATTTATCCTATTCCACTGCTCCAATAAAGATCTGTTATTAAACAGATACAGCCACTATGGAGAACAGCATGGAGATTCCTTAAAAATTAGGGGTGAAACTACCATATGACCCAGCAATCCCACTACTGGGCATATACCCTGAGAAAAACCAGAATTCAAAAAGACACACGTCTCTCAACGTTCACCACAGCACTATTTACAATAGCCAGGACATGGAAGCAACCTAGATGTCCATCAATAGATGAATGGATAAAGAAGTGGTACAGATATAAATGGAATATTACTCAGCCATAAAAAAGGAATGGATTTGAATCAGTTGAACTAAGGTGGATGAACCTACAGCCTGTTACACAGAGTGAAGTAAGTCAAAGAGAACAAATATATATGGAATCTAGAAAAATGGTACTGATCAAACTATTTTCAGGGTAGGAATAGAGACACAGATAGAGAACAATGGATGAAGGAGAGGGTAGATGAATTGAGAGACTAACATCAAAACATATACGTTACCATGTGTAAAACAGATAGCTAGTGGGAAGTTGCTGTAACACAGGGAGCCCAACCCAGTGCTCCGTGACAACCTAGGGGGGTGCGATAGAGTATGAGACGGAAGGAGGTTCAAGACGGAGGGGATATATATGTAGACTTATAGCTGATTCACATTACTGTTTGGCAGAAACCAACACAACATTGTAAAGCGATTATCCTCCAGTTAAAAATTTTAAAAGATCTATTAAATAACATATATGCATCACAAACTAAGAATGCTAATTCCTACGGATACCAGGGATTTGGCCTGCAAAGGGTTTACGCTTATGGGAGGAAAGCCACGAAAGTAGAAACAGAGGGGGAAGAGTAGGACACTGCTGGTGTGTGCAGGAATGCCCCGAAGGGTTGGAGAAGGCTGTATCTGACCCATGGCCTGAAAGATGAGCAGGAGTTTGCAGGAGTAAGGGGGAAGTGCTCTCCAGACTGTGACAGCAGGTGCAAAGGCCCTGAGGCACAAGGCAGTATGGCTCCAGAAAGAGGCTGAAATGAGCACTGCAGGGTGGAGGTATGAGGGACTAATGGCAAGAGATGTGGCTGGAGAAATTAGGAGGGGCTAGATAATAGGGATCTAGCACACCAAGGCAGGGAGGTGGGACTGGATTCAGAAGGTGATGGGAAGGTTGGAACTGTGAGTGACACAATGAATAAAAAGCAAAGGTGGGGTTAACTCATTTGCTACCACACAGTCATGGCCACCCTTCAACAGAGGCCTCTGAGTTTCTCATGATGCCTGGTGTCATTACTGAATGAGTCATCTGGCCTTAATGTTGATGACTGGGGGTGAGGGTAGGGGGGAGGATGAACATGACTCACAGGGGGCTGAAAATAAACCAGCCCTATTACTTTAGATGCAAATGAGAATAAATGGAATTTCTGGAGCTCACTGTAGCTGGTCTTTTTTGAGGAGGAGAGGGCTGGATACTGAGATACAGGGTCTACTGAACATTATAACATCTTCCCTGCGCCTCTTGGCAGGCAAATTACTTCACAGGCCATGAAAATGAGTCACTAAATTCTAAACCTTGGTTGAGAAAAGCAAGTTTGATAAATGTGTCCAGCTACTGGAATAAAGACCCAGAATGCAGGCAAATCATGAAGTTCAGATGGTGCCAATGCAAAAGCAGCCTCAGACCTGCATTTAGTGTTCCACACACACTCACACACACACTTAAGTGCACATACCCTCCCTTTCTTTCCTTGAAATATCAGTTGCAAATGCCAATGCCTAGAATATCTCATGCCTACAAAGTGATACAATTATAAGTGACCAAAAGGTGAGACAGAGGTGTGTTTAGGAGAGTTGGGGGTAGCCCAGAAAATAAAAAACAAAAGAAGAAAAAAATTCAGTCAAGAAGAACCATGAATCCAAACATCACATTTCAAAATATTTTAGTATTTTGTGGATTTATATCACTTCCAAGTGTATTAGTCACTTAGTCATGTCCAGTTCTTTGTGACCCCATGGACTGCAGCCCACGAGGCTCCTCTGTCCATGGCATTCTCCAGGCAAGAATACTGGAGTGGGTTGCCATTTCTTTCTGCAGGGCTTCTTCCCAAGCCAGGGATCTAACCCAGGTCTCCTGCATTGCAGGTAGATTCTTTACTGTCTGAGCCATCAAGGAAGCCCCATTTCATCTCAAAATTCCTGCAGTATTTTTACATATTTAAAAGACAGAATGGTACATCCCTGATTTTACTCTCTGGAAAAACTTACTCTGATGTTATCACTTGTGGGAGTGACTAAGAAGGCCTCGCCTTTAATTTTTGACCAAATACCTAGGTTACAGAGCTTAAATCATTTTGGAAGGCCTGATTAGCTTGTCCAGCGTTAATCAGTACCTTTCTTGGCATTCTTGTCCACCTCCTATTTCATGACTGAGAATAGTAGAGCCTACTTTTGCAAATATAGTATGTTAAATCTAAGAGGTTTTTAAAAAATTTTAAAGGCAGACTAAGTGGAGAAGAGGCTGTATAGAGAAGAGTCCCCAGTATGCCCTTAGGTTGAGCCCCTTCAGCCAGCAGTAAGCACACAACCCTCTTTTGTCATGGAAGGGTTCTCGGGATGATCCAGACACTTCCATGCATTTTTTTAAAAAAAAGAATGAGCATCTTTCAAAATTGTGCCTCCTGATAACCAAGGACTCCCAGGGACGCCGAACATGCCCATCATTTGTCAGGGAATTTGGTACCATGTAAAAGACATTTCCCAAGAAAGCACCTCCTCCTTCCATGTAGTTTTCTTGAGTCAAACTCCAAAGGCCATCCCTGTTGTGAAAGCTCCCTCTGGCAAGAAGTTAAAATTGAAGTTATCTTAGCAAAACAGGAAATTATTTGGGGGTGGGGGACAGAATTAAACTTGGGTAGTTTTTCTTCTTTTTCTCAATTGTACTTTTGTTCACAGCTTCAGCTGGGAGAGAGAGTGTTCACATTTAGTTTGGAGTTTATGAGTTCATATTTTATAATTAACGTTGCCAACAGGGGAGTTTGATTAATACCAAGCAGTGGATTTTGAGCAATGTTCCATACAAATTGCCAAATTTAGCAATAAAATAAATTGGTTATGTGAACATAATTAGTAGGATGACTACTTAAAATTCAAAACCGAATGTGAATAATTCCAAATCATCTGAGCCACAAATCCATTATTTGTATAGAAGGGAGAAAGTATAGCATTTGGGTTTTATTTTGCCCTCAACCACAATGTTATTCAGCACCAAGCTGAACATAATGAAACTTCTACAATGGGTTGTGACAATATTTTAGAGCAACCCAGAAACACACACAGACGCATGTGCACACACACATGCAAAGTGAATGTAATAAAGATAAGAAATGCTAAACTGAGTTTCCATTGTAAATGTAAAAATCTATAACAAATTTTTTACACAAATGCTGTACTACATTTTTCTGATGCACCATACATGAACCTATGGCACAAAATTACTCAGGAGAGCCTCTTGCCTTTAAATATTCACAGTACCTTATTGTCGCCCTGGACTTCTCCGAGCCTTTGCTGAAGTTCTTTAATTTCTTCTCCCAGATGTTTATTTCGGTCCTGAGAATCTCTCAATAGTTGTGCAAGATTAGCCTGCAAATATCAACACATTATGAAATATAATCAGAAATGGAGGAGTGGAGAAATGTGAGGTTTTATTAGGCTTATTGCAGTCAGCATCCAAGCCCAGCTGAAGCACACAGCCCTTTAGAGTAAACACATGTACGAATACAGCAAGTGTGAAAATCACGCCACTACAACCGCATGGAGGGAAATAAAATTGGCCATGAACCTCAATTTGGGGATGTTCTTTGTTTCCAGAATGGCTCACAGACAAGTGATGGAGGACTTGGTCTTACTTGACATTTTTTGTAAAGGAGCTCCTCATGAAAACTCTTACAAGCAGTCCTAGAGTTCAATGCTAACTTTGGGCCAACAAGAAAGGAAAAGTTTCATTTCCTTGTTTAGGTAGTTTTTTCCTTCAAATATATCATGTTTAATGAACTTTTCTTTGCCACCTTAATGACCAGAATTTTGATCCAAAAAAAATATGTCAGACAAGAGACCAGTGAGGTATCATGACTGCAGAAATCAGGATCCAGGGTAACGCAACAACCTCCTGGGCTGCTTTGCTCACCACCTTATCCCCCTGTTCTAGTCCCCAGAGTACCAAACAGCCAGGATGAGCACCTTCCAGTCCAGTCTTTGTAATGGCATCGCTTCCTTAAGATCTCCCCCTGCTCAGACCAGATCCTGCTAGCCCACATGGGCAGTTCTCCCCTCCCTCAGTCCAGCTTCATCAACACATTACAGCCGGTTCCTCTGGACCGCTTGAGCATCCTTTACCATGCTCCCGCCCTTCTCAGGTTCCCTGAACCTGAATTTACATCTGTTCCCACACTATGTGCATGCTTTCATCTACTCAAGCCTGTAACTTTTTGTTCAACTTTACCTCCCATGGCTGCTGCTTCTATACTATTCCAATTTTGCTCATTTATTCTAATTCTCACCTTGCTTACTGTGCTCGTATCTAACCCCAGCAAGAAGAAATGAACTAGTCAAAGGTAGAGATTCCTTTTCCTCCTTCCTAAGCCTCCAAGGACATTGCTCCAGGAAGTGCACTCATTTCAGCAAATGTTTTTAAAGACTCCCGATGAATAAATGAACAAAGGAAGGAGGGACGCAAGCAAGCCAGCAATCAGAATATGACTTCTGAAGAGGCATTTTTCAGAAACAGTCATACAAGGGGTTTGAGAGTCATCTTTTCGATTCCTGCCCTGTGATAGCTGAAGAAACTCAAATCCAGAGACATTGTGGATGAGTGCAAATGCAGTTGGCTAAATCTCCAAAGACTTCGATGCTAATACTTCCAGGAATACTCAGTTATGTTAGGTAATCAAAGGGGAATGAAAGTGAAAGACTAATATAAAGACTAAACCTTGGCTCATCCTTGACTCCTCACTTTATTTCATCTCCCATGTTCCAGCCATTGGGATATCCAGCATCTCTACTCTCAAGGTAGGCCCCCACTCAGCTCCTCGCAAGCCCACTTTCTGGCTGTTCCCCACATAGTGCAGGCAGGACCTATCTCAGCATCGCTCCCTCTGTCGGTCCTCTTGGACTAGAATGCTCTCCCTCCCAGATACCTCTTGGCTCACTCCCTGACCTTTGGAAGGTCTTTGTTCAAAGTGCATCATTTCAAAGGGCCCACGTGGACCACTATCTAACAGTGCAAACTGCCCACCTCCCCTGAATGCCCAAGCCCTTTCCCCTGCACTACTTTTTATTTCCAGAGCACCTGCCATCTCTTAACATACTATGTAATTTACTTTCTTGTTTATTGCCGTATGTTGGCATATGTTTATTGCTCAGTGTTTATTTCCTGTCTCTCTCTCCCTAATAAGAGAGAAGTTCCATTAAGGGCAAGGAACTTTGTTCTCTCTACTGGTCTACGTCAAGAACCTAGTGGATGCTCCATAAATATTTCTTAAATTAAAGACAATACGTTGAGTCTGAAGATTGTGGTCTTAGCCTAGAGAAATATCTGGAATAATAAAATACTGAAACCAGTTCATGGAACGTAACGTTGCACAGAAACCCCGTTCATCCCCACTTGGCAGGATTCAACTCAGCCCTGATTTCCACTCACTTATTTGTGAACATTACTCAAAAACGTGATTTAATTCTAAACCCCATATTTGCAAAGCTCATATCTTGTAATAGTTGTTTCCCAATTTTCCCAGAGTCCTGTCCTTATCAGATAAAAATTTGGGGAAGGATAAGAAAAATTCACCCTCATTTTACAGGCAGGAGAGCAAATAAACAAGAGATACTGTGGTCAACAGACTACTTTGGGAAATTTCTCCAGAAGGAATCATAGACTAAGTTGGGTCCCAGTTCTGCCACTTACTGGACTGGGTGACCTTGAGTAAGTTTCTTAACTTTTTGAGTTTCTTCACCCACGAAATGGAGCTAACCATATGTACTTCATGTATTAAGTGGATACTTTCATTGAATAATGAACCTAGGACATCTTTCACAGTGCTTGATGTATAGTAGGCACTGGTTAAAGGCTGGTCATCTCTGACTCTGCCCTTCCAGTGGCTCCAGCTCACTCACTCAGTGGACAGTTGGGCAGATTGGCAGAAAGGCTCCTTGGACACAGCTGTCTCCTTTGTCATCCTGCCTCTGCGCTCAGTCACCCATTCATTTAGACAACAAATATTTAGGGAGTGCCCACTATGTGTCAGGCACAATTTTTAGACTCTGGAGATACAACAGTGAGCAATACAGACAAAGTCTTGTGAAATGAAATATTTCCTGCCATATCGGTGGGCAAGAAATGTCACAGCCATCCATGATTTCTGGCTTCCTAATGTGAATGAGGGCTCCCAAAAGGGAACATTATGCCAGCGATCCGGCAGATGCCGCCACCCCCCAATGGCGATTGCTGAGGAGCTGGGGGCAGGGGGCTGCAAAAAGCAGCCTTCGGCCACACCTGCCACCCCCTAGGGTGAACAAGGAATTAAGGATGTAAACATTCTGAAACAGGATTTGGCCCCAGATAGTTGAGGTGCATATGAAAGGAATGAATTCAGTGAGCCCGGAGGCTTGCATCTTCCCATACATAGAAGAACACTAAATTCCTTAGCTTGATATCTGGTTTTCCCAACTACTTAACAATAATCTCTGATGCTCAGACTGACTGCCTGGCCCCTTTATTGCAAACTTGTATATAGCCTGACTCTCTCCTGCCTCCTTGGAGCCGCTTTCTCAGAGCTATTGAGATGCTGCCTCCCAGTCTCAGAATCCTTAACATTCCCATCAAATCAAATAACTCTCTACTTTCAAAGTTGTGACGAATTTTTTAGTCCACAGCCCCTTGTTCCTGTAAACTTACATTTTAATAGATGACATTATATTAATTGTATTATATTACAACAAAACTAATAGTGACTGATGAGTTAAATGATGAGTGCTATGTGAAACAAACACAGCAGGCCAAGGGAACAGCATGCGCCGGGGAAAGACCATGGCAGGTGTCACAAGGAAGGCCACATTCAAACCAAGACTTGAAAAAGGAGGAACAGCAAGTGTGAGCCTTGTGGATATCCTGGGGAAAGTTCCGGGTAGTGTGAAGGCAACCGGCTTCCTTCTCCCCCTCACATCACAAGATTCCCACTTTGGAAAACAGTTCAAAACCACTAGAGCAGGTTAACCCCAGGGACTGCAGTAGAGAGATGATTCAACTCTTGATTTTCTTTTCCGGGTTCCTCCCCTCCTTCTTGCAGCTCTCCTGTCCTACACAGAGTATCACAATCAGGCAGTCTCTTCTTTTCCTCCAGGGAACTCCAGAACACTTCCCAGACGTTAGCTCAGCAAGCATAATCCCTCCCCAGCAGGTGGAGGAACAGGCACCCCAGGCCAGAGGGACTGGCCCAGAGGCAGGATGCAAGGAGCAGCCCAGTGCCGGCTGGTGCGTGGCTGAAAGTGTCCTCAGGGAGTCTGCTGGCACCTGCACACAGCATCTCAGCACCCCATCTGCAGGAGACACAGCAAAATTCACCTTCACAGGAGCCTGCTTCTCTTAACACAGTGGAAGAGATGTTCAGAAGGAAACGCTTGTGGGAGCAACAGTGAAAGTTAACAAAAGACAAAAAAAAAAAAACCTGCAACATCCTTGACCTGATCTTTCTGAATCAATCACTGCTTGAGCCCCTTAGGTGGGTGGGAAGACCCTGACGTTTTTGATGTAACCACAATAGCTTAACCCGCACAGCTTGAACTCTTGATGGTGAAAGACCCTGACCTCCAATTTGTCACAGATCAGTATTTTGTGCAAAATACAATGGAGATCAATTCCTAGGAAAACAAATTGAAGAAGACCTCAAGGCCCCAAGTGTTTGTTAGGTTCACCTGACATAAAGTCACACATACTGTCAGATTACTAGCAAGGACATATATACATTTACCATATGTAAAATAGATAGCCAGTGGGAGTTTGATGTATGACGCAGGGAACCCAAAGCCAGTGCTCTGTGATAACCTGGAGGGATGGGGTGGGGAGGGAGGTGGGAAGGAGATCCAGAAGTGAGGGGACACATGTATGTCTATGGCTGATTCATGCTGATGTATGGCAGATGCCATTGTGATACTGTAAATTAATTATCTAATTTAAAAAAATTATTAACACCTGCTCTCATTTTCTGCACTTATTTTTGTCACAGGGACCAGAAATGGCAGCTTGCGAGGCCCTGCTTTGAGTAGCATTCAGCCCAGAGATACTTACTGGTATTTGGGTGTTACAGCAAGGCAGGCACCCAGTTTATATATCAAAGGTTCCAGTGATATGTGAAGTAGAGGACTAGGCTGCTTTAGGAAACAGCGATTCAGAGACACAGTGATGCGACTGTCAAACATTATTTACTCTGCAGCCTGGCTGAAAAGAAATCTACTAAAATAAAGTCAAGCATTTCGACAGTAGCTGCAAAACAATGGTTAATTAGAATCACATCGCCTCCAAGGGAATTCACCATAAATCTACCCCAGCTTTCAAACTGACCCTTGGGGTAGGGAAGGGTGGGGGAGACCCC